TAACTTTGCTAAAAATACTGTAACAGACGAAAATCATCTCAACAATAGTATATCGAAATTGATATGTTCTTTTAATGTGGGAAAGTGTTCAAACCTTTGAATTCTGATTCAGTTGTTTACTTATTAGCTTAGTATATTTCAAAAACACAACAATTGATGTTACAGAAAAATGTTGCGTTTAAGTGACCCATAGCGTTTGGACGGATCAAGCAACCACATACAACTGGTTGTACATACAACCACATTCAACCACATACAACCACATACAATGTAAGTGATTGTATGTGACTGTTCCAACTGGTATAAAAACGTATCTGTAGAGTATTTTTCCCTGTAACATGGACATTGATAAAATTCATTTACAAAGAACAAGCCCTTAACCATCCAGTTCGCATTGGACGAGGCGGTGTAGAATCACCATTATGTTCTCTGCGTTCCCTCCCAGTGGCGAGGCCCGGGCAGAACATTCAACTAGTGTATACTGTATACAGTTTTATTTAACAACCTATAAAGTGCTCATACATAACTCAATGTTGACCACAATGGGACGATGTAGAAACAGTAGACTTTTAGATGGGATCGACACAAACTATCCTTATTGCTTATACATTAGATCTTGTCACCCTTACAGTGTCGCTGTTGCACAGTTACCAAACACAACGTGACAGTTTAGATCGTCATTAACGTAACGTTACCTCATGTCACGACATTGGTAGTGAAAGTAACTTGAAGTGTGATCAACACCTACGCCTACACCTGCGCAGTGCAGTTGCACCTACACGACATTAACACTAGGCATGTGCAGGCGCTACCGTGCTGCATGTAGCTGCGCTGTGACATGACGGCGCTGTTAACGTTAACATTTCCACCGGTCACACTCGACTGAGCATGCGATAGCTTCCGGCCTGTAGTGACATTTAGTTTTGCGGATGGAAAATAGTTACGGAAAGAAAATAAAAGAAACGTCTTATAACACTTAAAACATATGTTTACGCTTATACTGAACTCGCCTATTGGGTCTGATGATGATTGGAGTGTCCAATCGAAATCGATCACCACTTACCACCTTTTTTGTATATTTACCGTCTTGTGAGTAACAGTATAAGCGTAAATATATGTTTTAAGTGTTATAAGACGTTTCTTTTATTTACTTTCCGTAAATTTAATAACACGTACAATGCTGATCAAGAAGTTATTTAGGAAAATGGTTTACCGGTTGTAAAGTGAAAGATTTTTTCAAATTCCCAAAAAGTACACAACTCCTCTCCTCTCCCATTTTTTGTCTTAAATTAGTTCTTCAGAATTGATACGTTGCACGATACAGTAACCGCCACGTAGGTCCGCACGTATTCTTAGTTTACAATGAATGCAAAATCTATAGATGGAAGGGAGAGATTACCTCTGTGTTACTGATTAAGATCAGTTGTCTTTTTGTCTCGATCCAGTGATTGATGACAGATAACTAAATTTGCGAACCACCTAAAAGCTACTGATTACGTGTTGAACCGGTTAAATTTTGATTGCCAAGCGACCATTGTAGGCATTGTTTGTTTAGTTTATGTAATGTGACTTAATATTTCTTTACTTTGACCTAATCCCGTAGAATCTTCCTGTAGCATAGACTGCCCCATGCACGTCAAATCATACCTCTTTATCTAATCGAATCACTATAGAAACTTTATTACTTCCGATCAGCTGTGAATCGCAACTTCGAACCGCTCTCAAATAGAAATCTCATTTCCTCCCTGGCAGGATCCATAGACTAGACTCTCCATCCCATATACTTGTCCGAAAACAGGAAACTGTTACGGGTGGAAAGCTCAGTTATGGTCAGCTGTTGGTTGTATGGTGTTCAACTACCAGGTGCGATGCGCTGATCACCTGTTATGGATCGCCCATCTTCCGAGCCGCCCGGGCGATAATTGGTTTGTTAACGGGCGAGTTTCGCGAGTTTGCGCATCGCTTTGGAGGATTAATGTGTAAAATACGTGTAAAATGTTAATTGCGTGAGATAAGGAATGATAGTCAATGTATGTGTCGAACTAAGTGGTGCGAAGAACTGATTACAAATTATTTATCACCATAAAGTGATGTGATCGTGGCAATGTCCTTCAGTTTAGCACTTGGTACTCTTCAGCATTGGATAGATTAGGAATTTTGATGTGTAACGTTTCGAGCTATCGACTTGTTTACTGGTGAAAGTATATTTGTCTGTTATTGATTGTAGGTGGTAATGGGTATGGTTGGAAAAGCTGTTGGAGCATATTTTAGGTTGGGAAATTTGGAATCGGTAGCGGTGATTACGAATTATGTTATTTTTTTTCAAAATTTTTGTGCCTCGAGGTTTTACGTTTTGGTTATCATTCCGATTACGATTAAAATCACCATCGTCGCGCCTTTCCTTTTATTTAGGTAGAGAGAACAACAAAAAGCGCTCAATTTAGCACTGAGAGCTGAATACTCATGTGTAGCCAAAAATTGCTTTACCCCTAGTTCTTTTTGTCATCCTTCGGAATTGTACAATAGTGCTTGACTTGTCAAATTCCTGTTCGGCGTTGAAGCTACATTCTGTGTGCCCCGTTATTGAGCATATATCTCTTCTCTGTTTGCATAAAATCAGCAAAATAAGTTGTATGACGCTTGTATCAACCACTATTGCCTCCGACCTAAAAAAATATAAAGCAACAATTCTTTTGCTACAATCTACAGTTAGTTGTTTTTCACGAAGCAATCGCAGCAAAGAAGTTACAACTTGGATCTACAAAATCAATCTCATTGTACTAGGCGGACAAGCGACTCCAAACAATAAAAACAATTGTTGATCGTATCTCGACCGTGAGGGTGGATTGTTTGATCAATTCTCTGATCGTCTCTGATCTTCGTGACTCGCGACTCGCCCTGGAGAATTTATTGATCATTGATCATTTCCCCGTCAAACCCCGCACGTTCCGTTTGTCTGTAACATCCACAATTACTTTGTGCAGTCTGTGATGATTTATCGTAAAATAAGACTGAATTGCTTCATCTGGTTGAAAGGTCGACGCGATTCTACAAGACTATAAGTTAATAATTTTCAGTATTTGGTTTTCAGTATAACGAAAGAAAAATACTGTTTGCGCTATGCAAGTGTGTAGTTTATTCTGTGGAGATTGTTTTATAAATAAGGTCATCTTCCCATCTTGACTTAGTCACATTATAAAGTTGCGTTTTCATAAGTCCAAGCATACATCTTCATTAAATAAAATAACTTAAATACTAAATCTTAGTCAGAGCGAGATAAACTCGAAAGTTTGACAAGAAAAGTTCTAGAATACATTAAGTATTGTTCCTATTATTGCTCAAGTTGGTGTCAATAACAATGTTGTTAACAAATCGAAATGGATACAATAATAGTTGCAATGTTATTGGTAGATAAATTCATTTGTAGTTATACTCGTTTTCGTCATGGTGATAAAAAACAGCGTAGTTTAGAGTTACGTCAGTCCCATCCCAAATCAGATGCACAGGAAATGCCATATGTGTGTTTTTGTTGGAAGTAACGAAATCAAGCTGCCATGTGACTCAAACTTAAATTAGGTTAAGTATTGGTAGCATATGTTTGTAAGCTCGGCTCAGAATATGCACGTTAGTGTTGAATTCGTATGTTGGTGGTTGGTATACTGCATACGACAGCAACGTAATAATCCTAAAATATTTTTTTCCGCAGAATACCCTTAGTCCTACAGTTATTGCGTATCAGAAGGCTCGATTGGTCAACTGGTTATAAGAAGAGCCTAACAATCAATACACAACAACCCAATACTTCCGAAAAAACTAGGTTTATTGTAACACGTCTTCTTGTCTTATTACGGTGAGCTATCTTCAATCTTTTTCGCCAGCCCATTCTCACTTAATGAAGACATAAAACGAGAAAAACTGCAAATCTAGTTTACTGACTCATTACCGCAAACTATAATCTCGTTACGCTTTCGCGACCGATAGTGACGGTTATCTAAGATGGCGGACGCGGGAAAATGGACGCTAAACAAATTGGCGGAAGTAGATATCGGTAGCGTACGTGTCGACGTGTTAATCATAGAGGAAAGTAGTGAACAGCTGTTGATCAGCGAACGACTCAACAGCTGACAGTCGCTCAGTCATTTGAGGCACCGTCAATGTGAGGTTATGCGGGGTTATCTGTGAAAGCGACAGCGTCTGTAGTGTTGTGCGCATGCGTTGTAACCGCGCCGCCGCGCCGTCTGCTGTCGCTCTCTGTCAGATGTTATCTATGAATTATGGGACAAAGGTCACCCTCCCCTCCCTCGCGATAGAGAGCTACTGGTGGTCTGGGCGTGGACACTGATTTGCTATCATAGCTGGTTAGAAATCAGCAAGTAAATGATGATTCATATTGTATGCGAAATATCATTGGTAAACAATTTTTTTATTGTTTAGTCATTATAAACGAGCAATGGTGGCAGAGAACAGGTTTTATTGCCTAAAATCCAATCCTAGAACTGCAGTAATGATTACAAATTGATCTAAAAGCACATTTTATAGGTAGATTATAGCTATCATTTTTTTTTACTGGAATTTCTTTCTAAGATAAGTTGATAAGTTATTCTAAAAATTACCTAGAACTAGGTTGTCTTCATTTTCCAGAATGGAAAAAAAATAGATTTATGTGTTTGTGGGCCTTTTTGAGCTAGACATTGTAAATCCTGATCGAACTAGAACACCTATGGGATGAATGTTACAGCAGCTCAAAAGTCTTGGTCTGAAGTAGACAATTTTCGAACATTGTTCTTAAAATTTTCTTGATCATATGGTGACTATGAATCGGAGGTAGTCTGATATTACAGTGCTGGAAGTATATTGAGTCACTCAAAATGAATGCATTTTAAACTCCTCCTTCTTACAATCACTGTTTGCTTTTTTTACAGAATTTTTCTTTTTGTACCTATTGTTTATTGTGTTAAGTCAGTCAAAACATTATCACTCAAGTATTTTTCTTGTTCCAGGAGCCTGAAGTCGCCTCTCCCTTAGACAGTGACGAAGGAGAGCCTGTTCACAAACACCCTAGACTTGGCAGCAGCCCTTGGCATTCGTCCTACGATCAGGTAGGCACAAAATAGATACTTCAAAAAACAACGAAGAATTAATTGTCTTCTTAGCAAAGCTAGTTGAAAGATGCACAACCTCATGCCATAATTTCACCTAAAGGTTTTTATTTATAAAAACAGAGCATACAGTGTTTTGCTCTCTTAGAATATTTCCTTTACGATCTTTTGACTGTGGATTCTAGTAAAATATCAGTAAGATGGCATATCAAAAACATAGTTTGGTGAGTCTGCCACTTTGTCGGTGGCATGAAGAACTGTGAAATTAAGACATCAATGTCCTCGGTTTCCATTATGATGCTGTTAAAATAATTCATAAAAATATATCAGTACTGTTCACTGACTGTTGTTTTGTAATTCACCCCTTGCATTGCTTGGTACATTCCACACACAGTCTTAATGCCCATGTGGACAGGCCTATTCAATATTAAAAGAAGAAAATAACATAGCTATTTGTTAGGAGATGCATAACCATGGGAGAATGTGTATTAAGATAATCTTGCATCCTTGACTCATAATTTCTTCATGTCTATACCGTTTAAATTTACATATTTTTGCAGGATGATGATGGTGACTATTTAATGGATCAGAGCTCGTGCTCAACGAACGACATGGTTGGCCCCCAGAGCGAACTCGCCTCCTTACCCCCTACCTTCCCTACCGCAACCTCCCCTACACTCCTCGTCCGCTCTGGGACCACGGAAGAAGACTTGCTCAACGACAACTACACTTTATACGATCGACGGCAAGGCGTCAGTGTACCACTTGACGCCGCCAGGAAACTCTTCAGTGATGAAAGTTCTATATTCACAAGGTAACTTGATTAAAGGAGTAATTAGAGTATAGTATCCCCCCATAATCTGGATAATTTGAATTTCAAGTTCTCTGGATGGTTGAAAGTTCAAATAAAATAAAATAATTTTCGTATAGTGAAAAGCAGCACTATTACAGTACTGTTTGGCCACCCCTTTGTTTACAATGATATTCCTGTTATTTTAAAATATTGTAAAATAATTGTTTAACCAAATAGTTTTAAACACTTGTTGATATATTTGGTTCACAGTAACCACGCTAACTACATTATGTCTTTTTGCCCTTAACTTCTTTTTCAGTGATGCTTGCTAATTGAGAAACATCAAGCTATATACATAGCATTGCGCTTTCCCACATAGTAAAGGTGTGATCAAAAGTGCATATTAATGATATAATGAGCTTTCTTCCTCCATTTTAAATTTGGTTGGTTGATTTCCTGATCTCTTAAGTACTTTATTGCTAAACTTTTTTTAATGCTGAATAATTTAACCACATGAGTGTTTTGCACTCAGTTCTTGAATTTATATAAGTTGTTCTTGTAATAAAACATCACTATGCATAACAGCCCATTTGATTTGATGATATTATTCACAAATCATTTGTTAAAAATGGCATATTAAATGGTACACAGGTATCCAATCATAAAAATTACAGTTTTTTGGGTAGCCATAGATTTTATATATTTTTTTAAAATCGTATTAAAATGATTTAAGTTAGTATGTTGTTGGTAATGTTGTACTTATGAGTAATTTGCTCAGGAACTGACTTAACTCTTTTATTCCAGTGAACCTACCTCTTTGGGGATAAATTCGTAAGTTTCAATAGCTAATTTCCCCATTGAATGGTTTTCAAAAATCTGTTTTGAATGTCGTTTCGTGTTACCTGTGATGCTCATTTAACAATTTGTCTTAAATTATGTTCACTTATTTTTATTGTCTCAGTTTTCTTGTGATCTTACAACTTTACCTTTTAACCTTCATAACCAAAACCTGCTTCCAAATTTTAAAACATTTTAGTTTTAGAGGCATTTGCATTTATTTTTTTTTAACCAGCATGATGTTTGTTTTGTAAATAATTCAGTTTTGTTCAAAAATCCTACATTTAGGTTTTAATAGACAGTTTCTATATCTTAAATGTTAAAGCTAAATAGTGTAGTTAATTATCTGTTTAATTTAAGGTAAGCTCAAACTCATTAATCAAACTAAATATCAAACTAACCTGCTTAAAACTGTTATATCATCTTCTATGCATAAAACACTAGCACACCTAATAACATTCCATTTAAAGATTTGTTTGATAAGAAATTTACATATTTTTATTTTTTTTACTTTTTATTTTAATTTACATCATTTCATTTTACTAAGACTAACACTGTTATAACATAAGAAAGTAACATTGTACTTTTTAGTAAAGGTTTTAAAATATTAAGAGGCATGTATTAGAAAAAGGTTGCATTTTGTGAAATATTGATTACATAGATAAACTAGTTCTACTGTTATAATTTTTATTGTTTCTCCAATCTCAGTTTTAAAAGCAAAATTTCAATATTTTACTGTTTTTAATTTTGTATATGCGAAGTCATTTTTTTTGCTTACAATAAACTGGAATTTTTCTAATTTTTAACCTGTTGGGTGATGTAGTTCATAATCTTTTTCCGTATATTATGTTTGTGGATTTAACACACTGCAACGTGATCAGAATCTAGACTGATAGCATAATTTATGTGGAGGTAGGTGGTGGGAGAACCAATTGTTTCTATATTCAATTCACATTTCACTACTTTAACTGAGACAAGAGTATTAACAATAAATTAACATTGTTACAAAGATGCGTTAACCTCCTTAGGTTGTGGTTATAATGAGCAACAGCACACGACTTTAAGGGCGATTTAATGGGGTATTATATGGATGAGTTGTAAAGTGAATCAGTACATGTCTTTCAACTTACACTGTATAAACGCGGCAAGTGAAAAGCAAAGCCGGAAAGTGAGATGGGTACAGCTGTTTACCTATTTGTAAGATTACCCTCATGGCTGAAGAACCAAACTATTTACTCATAATCGTATAAGGCCGAACAGTTTTCAAACTGTGCGTTTACAAACATAGCAATTGAAAAATTAGGTGAACAAATTTTGAAAGTGTACTCAGTGTACTACTATGTCTTCGTAGTATAATACAAGCGTCTTAATTTACTTTTTTAGACAAATCGTTAATTCATAGTATAAACATACTCCCTGATAGATTTGCCATCCTTTTGGATCATCTAAAGTCATTAAAACCAGTTTTTGATGTGTTCATGTAGAGGACTTTTTTTTACAAATTTAACTTTGAATTTGATCTATTTGTAAGCTTTTGCATGTCTCCTTGAATAACCTATGAGCAAAGCACAGTTTGTAAAATCCATTTAGTATTATGAAGGTTTAGTTAAAATTTTCGTACGCAAACATAACCAACTGAAAAACATATCAAAACTTCAAGTTTTAATGTACGATGAGTGTACCTGCTCTCATTGTGTTACGGCTTGTTAACATTTACTACATGTTTTCTGTCCTATAACTATCCTATTTCTGTCCCAGGTCAGACCGGCCTGCACAGAACTGCGCGACCTTCTACTTCAAACACTGCGACACGGAGTCAGAGCAGGAGGACAGGGGCAGAGAGAGGGAGACGGAGGAGACGGAGCCAGTAGCGATGGACACGGACAACAACAAGGAAGACTCGTCGGAGGAGGAGTGGACGTACAAGTGTGGCGAAGACTCTGCCTTTACACACTCTACAGAGACACTGGCCTCCGCACCAAGGTATACCACTGGTTGCTAACTGTATGTCACCATAGACAATGAAATATTTGTAGTGCTGTAGGTTCTTGTTTAATCAACCTTAACCGGCTGTGATTAAACCTATCAAACCTAAACGTATTGCTAGCATAATGAAAGTTTTTAAATTGATAATGATTCTCTATTTTGAACCTTATTTAAGTTGCTATTTCATTATAACTAGGCTACAGTACTACATTTTACCAATTGTAATCCACTATCATGAATAACTTAAAACTAGAAAAAAATAATTAACAATTTTAGTAATGTTCCAATTTCAGTATGTACTGCCGAAGCACAAAGTCAACACACTCCTACTGTAACTGTAAAATATGAAAGGTAAAGCAATACATCTCCACTCTGCCACTGGACTTGGCTCCCACCATAACTTGACGTGAGGGGTAGTACTCTAGTGTGCAGGTATTATGTTGGCCAAAATTACAGTTAAATGTAGGTCTTGACATGTATTTTCTTAGGACAATCAGGGTTGTTTCTAAACATCTGCTACAGGGTATAATAATTCATTTCATCGCGATGTTGTATTTGGAAAAATGCAGTTTATTTCAACACTTAGTTGAAATAAGTTAGTTCAAAGTAAGTTAGCCAACTTACTTTGGACAAACACATAAAGGGTATGAAATTGTCATAGCTAATTTATCAGATCGTTGTTTGTTAAATGATAAATTGGAATACAGAGTATCGTACATTCCTCGGATTAAAAATTAATGTAATTTTTGAACTATTCATTATTTTTTCGTTTTCATTTGGTGTATTTAATGAGGTGTGATCACGGGATTTACTCGCAGGGCTCGTATAGCCATTTGCTTGTTCTACCTGACAATCAATGTCTCATCATACCTGAACATAGTTCCACTAAGCTTATTAACAGTTTCTATCCTAGACCAAAAATCTAACAACTTCTCTTGTGATTATTTTGTCCCTTGATGTACAAATAACTTCTGTCCGCAGGTCTACTAAGCCAGAGTCTCAGCCACTGCCCAAGCCTCAGCTGCAGAAACTGATAGAAGGAGCTGTAGAGATTGTCCACTCCTCCCCCTCCCGACCCCGCACCTTCCCTCCTCTTATCTTTGAGACTGCTCGGGCCAGGTCCAAAGTCAGCGACTGGATGATGAGGGCTTGGGACCCCGAAGACTGCAAGGTACAGATTAGATACATGTTGACGTTTTTTTCTAGGCTATACACTGTTCAATTAGGAGAAAGATAAAACGGGCATACAAATTTAAAATTAATAGAACAGTCTTCACATAGAAATTGGTATTGAGATGGTAATCTGGTTAGTGTAAAGAGCGCAAGCTGTGCCCAGGTTAAATCCTGCCAATAATGGCTAAAAAGAAACAAACTAGAGCTACTCTGTGAAATAAGGCATGTTATTGGATTTTATTTTGCTCAAAATAACTCTTGTTGTAATTCAAGTGCTAATGTTATAGACACTTGTAAACTTTAATATCATAAATATAGGTTTCTAAATGTTGAAAAAGGGTCTCTTTAATAAATACCTAAAGTGTATTAATAAAAAATTTAAAGCTGAATTTTTACAGTGTTTACAAAGTTTGCTAAATTAAAACTTGAGTTAGCGAAATCCTAAGTAAAAAATTTAAATTAATTCTAAAACTTACATACTAAGTTAGAGAACAGAAATTGTCTGTGCTGGCTTCAGTGGGAGGACACTAATTAAAATAACGTAAAAACGGACTGTTGAAGATCTCTTTGAACCAAAATAACCATTAATTTCATTGATTGGTAAAAAAAAGAAGGTTTTTGAGAACAGGCTCACTCACTTGATAGTGGTTTTTCTTTAAATGTTGTTGCTAATCTCTCAGATCATTGTAGATTTTTGTTACTTTAGAATCTACTGCAGTAGCTAAACCAATGGGCTCAAGAATTTGTTATCTTTAGTATTATTATTTTTCATTCCAAATCGCAAGATATCACCTCAATTTTGCTGCTTGTATAGGGAGAGAGCTGTGATGCCAGTGGAGAGTACACCACTGAGGAAGAGGAGAGACAATCCTCGGGAGACTTCAACCACTCTGCCTTCCTGCCTTCACACAACAGCACGGAGGTTCTGTCTACCCTGGATACTACTCTGACTGAGAAACATCCCCCAGTCAGTCCTGTCAATGTCCCGGAACACTTCAAGGTGGGTGTAGACCAGAGTGGGTCGAGTAACTTCTGTCCTTGAGGCTTGCTTGCTTTCAAATCTTGACTAGCTTTGTGTTCTCTACTAATGTAGCACTATGTGATGATAAGTTTCAGCATAGTAGGTGATAATAGAAAAGCAACACTCCTGCCCAGTATCATTTCCTTTTTAGCGAATTTCCCTATAGGGAAGTAGCTATTACCGTAGGTCTCATGGTAAGACCTAAGCCCGGGACCGATTTACTTTTTCATTTTGATGTCCCCCAGAGGCCAAAAACACCATTCGTTCAAATTTTTATATATCTATATATAGAGATATATATATACAGTATATATATATGTGTCCATCCGCACGATAACTTGAGTAATTTTTGTCCGATTTTGATGAAATTTGGTTTGAAGGTGTAAGGCGAGATAAACTTGAATGAGTTCGCAAACCAGCATGATCGGACTATGGGAACGGGGGTTTATGGGGGGTTTTATGGGGTAAAAATAGGTTTTTCCCATTTTTGACCCTAAAAACACAAAATTTCACAATTTCTTTTTAAAAAATGTTGTAGAGCTTAAAAAAAACAAATAATTTAGTATATTGAAGCGTTATTATGCGCCTAATTGTTACGGAGAAAATTCAAAAAAATTGTAATTTTATAAATTCCCATGTTATTCTTATGGAGCATAAGTCAACTGTTGTAGTTTGCTTGTTTATGAAAATATTTTAATCAAATTTGGAAAATACATTAATTTCTTACTAAACCACAGTACCTTTTAACATTTTACATAAAAAAAAAAACTTGTTTACCCTCCCTGTTGCAGCAAACCTAAGTACTCATTAAACTAATTCTGTTTAAATAGGGAATAAATATGATATTTTTAAGGAGACATTTTAGTTTAAATCCAATCAGGCAAATGGGAATTAGCTAAGTCTGCAGGTTTGCTGCGGCGGGGGTATTTCAATTTAGTTACTGTGAGTCAGTCCTTAATGAAAATTGAAAACTGTTGCAGATTGATTGACAGATTTGGATGAAGAAGAGTTTGTTTAGGTATGAAAAAGTTGAATATGATAGCCATTCTAAAAATCTGTTCAAATCTGGTCTGAGATGGTTAACACATGTCATGATTACCATAAAGCATCTGGTTGTTTAGGTGTTTTATTTTGTTAATCCAGACAGGAAGATTTATGTTGGATAATTGAGAAAAATTGAGATGCTAAAGTTTCAAGAATGTGACTGACCTAGGCATGATTGTTTCAGATCTCCCCAGTAGTCCTAAGAGCCAAGAGGAAGGAGGGAACACCCAAGAGGCCGCTCAGTGAGTCGGGACTTCCTCAGATTGTGAACGGAGACGAGAAACTGCTTCAGTGTCGTAGTGAGTCTGCGCTTCATCAGATAGACCACACACCCACGCAGAGGTGAGTCATTAACTTATAACTTGTCAGTTTAATAATAGTCTGTGACCAATGTGCTTAAGGTGCTTTAAAATTAAAAACTAACCGTTTTGGCGTAGTCCCTAAAATATTTTCTTTTTCAAGATTCACTGGTAAATGTTGTATAGTTTTAAAACGTCATTTTCACTTTTAAAGTTTATCATGAGGATTTTATTCCTGATCCAGTGACTTAGTCAATGGCACGGTGGACTGTGAAACCAAGGCAGTTATGTTGTGGCTTTGCTTCCCAGTGTTGACAATTAAATTTATCAGTACAGTTCATTCATTTATCTGTCCCGGCTCATCACTTGCTAAGCTTGATATATTCCACACACAGGGCTTTAAGGCCCCTGTGGACAAGCAAATCCATGTTAAAAAAAGGCCACCGACCTCTTTTTATAGAAATAAAAACTTAATTGTTGATGTGGATGGGTACATAATTTTAAATTGCCAAATTGTATTGAATCTGGAGGTTAAAAACTTTAAAAAGTAATTGAGACTGAGACAGAATACATTGTTCATCTGGATAGCTACATAATTTTAAATTTCCGAATTGCATTAAATCTGAAAGTAAAATTTAAAAACTAAGACTGAGTCAGAATTCCTCAAACCACAATGTTTCCTAGTTCCTCAAAACCTAAATTTCAATAATCAGGAGAATGATATGAATCGTACATTTTCCTAAACTATTATTTCTTCAACAAATTTGAACATTACTTGGAAGTTATGAAATACAGTAGAAACTTGACAACAAGACTCTCAACGGTATGATTGAATTAGAATTGTTATCAAGGTTTGTAGTAACATGTGATGGTAAAATAAATTCAAAGTGATTTGAAAATCTTGCTTGTTATCAGTTATTAACAAGGGTCTTGTTTTTGAAGTTACACTGTGTATTCACTTCATGATGCAAGTAGAAATGTAAATTTATATTTTCTAATGTATGTGTGTTCAGTGTCAAGATGGATACGTCAGTACACACGACTTTGTCATCGTCCACAGTGGAGGAGACTGTAGGAGGTCAGACACAAGAGGGCAGTTGCGGCGGTTACAGTTCCAACTCTCTGCGGCGCAGGAAGATCAAGATGCGCAAGCGGAACTTGGTAAGTGTCTGCGCCCTGCGGGATTAAGGACTTGTGTTATTAACAAAATTCTGCTATTACCATAGTAAAAAAGTGTTTGAATAACCCAACAAAGCAATAAGAAATTAGCTTAGTCTGCTGGTTTGCAGTGATGAGGGTGCATTTTGATCGTCACAAGTAAACTAGGCCATTATAATAAATGGTACATTAAAGTTGTGTAATTTAAACAGTTGCAAATATTATATCAGTATAGTATTTTTAAGCATTTCATAGAATTTGCAAACAAACATGTGGGAGATGATTGTAATCATTATAATTTGCTTTTTAAGTGCCAAATTTCCAATAGAGTCACATCACTGTCTAAAGTAGTGACAATCTCTTTGCTATCCATAGTACTACCGCCATCAGATTTAAGGTTATTTACCAGAATTTCATTTGGTTTTGGTGGAAAATGACAGAAGAGGTGACTCGCCACGATACTTCAGGTCACTCAGTTCCTGCTAGATTCATACCTGTTCCTCAAGCCTAATCATGCCATTATGTCTTTGGGAGAACATCATCATTCCCTTTGCTGGTCTTTGATCAAACTATCGTTGGTGGCCTGTTTTTTTCACTTGGCAATAAATTCTTACCTACTCTTAATAACATATATTTCTAAGAAACCTTGAATATTAAACATTCTTTGAAGTTCTTAAAACGGAGACTTTTCTTTATTGTTGAAGTATTTTCTACTATTTACTATGTATATTCTGTTTCATTACATTCCTGTGAACTCACATCTGATATTCCTCGCAGGGCAAGAAGAGTGAGTCAGGGTCAGACAATCACGACCCACCGTCCCCACTCAAGTCCCCGCACGCAGTTGCTCGACGTGTTGCGTCTAGTGGCACAGAGACAGAGGAGGACGCGGAGGTAGAGCTGCGTAACCGCATTGCACGACGCAAGTGCAGCACAACTCCCAACTTCAAATTAGGCCCCGAGGGTCTGGTCACTGTGTTTTCAACGACAGAAAAAGCCCTCTCGGCTGATAGCTCTTTCTCTGAGCAGGCTTGGGACAACTACCAGGTAAATATAAATTTTGGACATTTTTGAATTTTGTTCAACATGAACTATCCTACTGTACTCTGTATAAGTCAAGATAATAATGTAGCATTCGAAAGTGTTAATTATTCCACTTGATTTAAAATCCTTGTTTTAAGTTTTTCAATGAATTTGTAACTGTTTTTTGACATACAATACTCATGACTAATAAACGATAAAGAGAGTGTAATAAATCCATGAGATATTGAAATTTAGCAATTGTGGTTTACCTCTTATTTAGATACAAAAGACAAACCACACTAAAGGAAAACAAGCTATCTTTCTTATTGTCTACTATTGTGGGGAGGAACATCATAACAAAAAATTTGAACTTGATTCTCCTCCTGCGGAAGAAAGCTTTCTGAATTCGGGCAAACCTTGAACCAATCCAAACCCACAGACAGGCGTTTCAGGACCCTGAAATAATGACAGTTGTATCTCTGTATATTCAAGAAAATATTCTGCATGTAAACAAAATTCAACCAACAAGAAACAGAGAATTACACTCATACAACACCTGGCGTGGTTCAAGGTTCTACTAATCAGTTTACTGTACCACTCTGGCTGGGAAAAATCACCATATGGCGGCTACAAGCTACGTAACCACCTTCCTGCATCCAAGGACCTCACTGGGAACAACTTCAAGACGGAGTTAAAGAAATGTCTGATGAAAATCCTTTCTACACCTTAGATGCATTTCTTGAGAGGATAAACACCAGAAATCAATAAAAAAAAACTTACTTACACTATTGTAATTCTTGAAAAGTTGTATAATAATTATGTTTTTGACTTTAACTATAGTTTAGTTTCAAAGACAATCTGTTGGCTCCTACAAGTGTATGTATGTTGTGGTTTACAGGAGAAGTACATGAGTGAAGCGTACAGTGAGGATGCCCCAGACCAGGAGACTGCTCGCAGACTGCTGGAGTTTGGTGAGGACTATCGTAACTTTCTGGACAGCCAATCAGACGGCGGCGCCTCCAGCCTGGGGCTTGGCCGTGGCGGCTACCTGAGACGGAGAAAGTACCTTGTATGTAAACACCATGCAAACTAAACTGTAAGCTCTATTGTTCTTGAGAATTTTTTGGAATATGTTGACTAACGATAAAGAGTACTCATGGTACAAAAAGGTTTGTGTTCCTCAATCAGCCAATCTACCCATTTTACATTGAGAGTTTACATTGGGAGTTTGCTTTGATGGTTGTTGCAAAATAAAAACTCAATAAAATCAAGTCATGGCCAAGCTATTTAGCTCAAATCTGAAACATGCTCTTTCCTTCCCACACTACCATTCTAGCTGGATCCCACTCCTATGCAAGATTCTGCTGCCAAGTTTGAATCACATTTTGCAATGAGGTGGTTCTGTGGAAAGGGGACCAAGACCTAATGTAATTTGACACTAGTTGACCAATGTACATAGTGAAATATATTTTCACATAAAATGTGGATAAGTTGTTTAGAGAGTTTGCAGAATACTCTAAAAATTTTCTCCACAGGCCAACAAGCAGGCATCCATTAGTTTCCATCGAGACGGTTTAAGTTGGGGAGTTGCGGAGTAGTTTGGTAGTTTTAGGGGTGTCTGCTGTTGGTTTGTTAATCCCTCAGGCTACGGCCACACGGGCGTTTTTTCACGCGGTAAAATGTAGCTTATTTTCACGCTGCTTAAATTCCCGCTGTTGTATGCCACACGTGCGTTTTTTTCACGCAGTAAAATGTAGCTTATTCTCACACCCGTTAAAGTCCAGGAGCGGCAAAATGCAGTGGGAACCCGCAGTTGATTGATGAATTCACTTAATTATGTTGTATATCTTCCTCATGACCGGAATAGTAACCTTGTTTCTGACTAGTGAACAAGAAATATGAATGGTATATTGATTTCAATACGAAAACAATACTAAAATTATTTTATTTTGTTAACCATTCATTTCATTATTTACATTTAGTATAAAAAAATTAATATAATATGTTAATTTCGATACGAAAACAACAATACATTTTTTTGAGCGAAGCTCACTTTCCCTCACTTTGTAACTTCTTTGTAAGAGCATCAGAATGTAATGGCTTGACCAATTAATATGAAATTTGGCCAACAGCTAAAGAATACTGAGCTCAATGTTTTGGTAAAAAATATTTGCAAATTTCCTTCTGGATTTTATTTTACGGTACACACAATTTCACTTGTTATTTTAATGTAAGTTGAAATAAAAATTATATTGGGTTTATGACATATGGGTTTATCTCGTTTCTTTTAAATAAGATAAACATATGTTAATTGTTTGTAACTGTTTAGTTTACATTTCAATGTTTACTTTCATCCTAGGTTGGAATGTAACAGTTTATCAATGGAAGTAACAGTTTTGCTATATTTGTTTGGAGCATGCCTCAAAGGCCGCGTCGTAATATTGGTCGTCGCACGAATAATGCAAATATTGTAAGAGAGTGGCGTCGTGAACAAGAACAACCAGATGAAGCAGTGGCGGAAGAAGCTGATAATGATAGGCAGTTAGCTAATCAATTCCAACATGAATTAGATGCACTAAAATTTTACACTTGCACTAACTGTCATCGCCAACAACTAACAGCTTCAAACCAATCACCGATTTGTTCGCGTTGTCGTTCAAATGCAACTAAATTCACGGTGTTAAATAATATGGATGTGTCAAGTGTCCCGAACGAATTAACTGACCTGACGATTGTAGAACAAATGTTGATTGCACGAGTACATCCTGCTATGCCCATTTACAAAGTACAAGCAAATGGTCAGGATGGCCAGTTTCACTACAAAGGTACAGTATGAACTATCAGATAAATTTGTCATTCCTTAGAACTTAAATAATATCGGGCAAACAAACGGTGAATCTGATGAAAGGGAACATTTATTGTAGGGTGTTGGCTGCTTTAGCCATTGACAATCTTTAAATAATGCTTCGCTCATTTATGCGTCTAAAGTATAACGGCAGACCACCCTAGTTTATTTTGTTAACCTTTCATTTAATTATTTACATTTAGTATAAAAATAAATATAATATAGCCTATTAATTTCGATACGAAAACAACACTAAAATTATTTTATTTTGACATTTAGTATAAAAAATAAATATAATATAAATATTTTTATGACAAGATTTTCATCAGATCTTTGTATATTCTACTACATAAATGCCTCTTTACATTTTTTAGTCCAACTAAATGCCTTTCCTTTTAGTAACAAAATATTAAGTGGTCCAGTAAGGTAGACCTAAGTTTAAGATAAAACGTGTTGGTCTACTGTGTAATTGGCTAGACCCAAAAAATATTTTACGCTATCCTGGACAAAATTAGATACATTTATATTTATTTGAACTGGCTAGGACGACTCGATCAAAGCTGCGTGTTGCTCCCGCCCGTGTGGCCAAGGACAGAGCGTTAAAACAAGCTTCAAAAATGCACCCCAGTCCATTCTTCTGCGGGCCTGCGGCGGTCGATTTTGAAGACGCGCCTAATCTGCGTGAAAACACACTCCGTGTGGCATACCTCATTACATTTAATGCTGCTCATATTTATCGCGTTTTTTCACGCTGCGTTCTTGCATGAAAAAACGCCCGTGTGGCCGTAGCCTCAGTCAGTCACCTCACAATCTGCATGTGAAATTTTCCCTTATTTCTTCCTAACTTAATGTGTAATGTTGCAGGCTGTAGATAGTGACAGTGGAGGCCCAGAGTTACAAAATCTTATTGCAACGTCTCTGTCTCAACTCAAACACTCGGAGATGGCCTGGAGCAAGCTGTCAAAAGCCAACCCTCTCCTGGTCATGGCTAAGGACTTTGTAAGTAAAACTCTTTTATTTGGAATTAAAGTTAATTCTTAAGTATTATATTCATAACTAAAGCTAACAATGCTCCTGTTCTTTTTCACCGTAGTTTTTTTGTTTTTTTTTTGCAATCTCCAAAAAAGTCAGTGTTGTTTATGATTCTGATCTTGAAAATATGAACATAGTCAGCGGCAAATTTGTGAAACTATTATTAAGGGACGAAGCCCTTAATTGATTAAATGTTTTAAGTTATAATGTATAAATCTACAGAATGTAGGCCTACTGTATTTTCCCACGATGTTCTGTTTACGGTCTGGTAAGTGAGAAAAAACAGATTTGTCAAAAGGGTAATACACTTGAGCAAAACACTCAAAATGGGAGTAAAAAATATATGCAATGAGACCTAACGCAGTAAATGGTAGATTTCCATGGGAAAAAGGTTCAATTCTACCAAATTTAGAAATTAGCAGTGTTGTAGTTTCTTTAGTGGCCGACATTTTCCAACAGCAATACCTCAAAATTTCTTTTGTTCCAGGCGGAGATCATATCAATATGCAAGGAAAATATTTCTGCGCTGAAGTGTTTCTTGGACAAAAGTGAACAAGGAAATGGATATATTGAAGAGTGCCGAGAGATGAAAGGTAGGAAAATCTAGATTTGTTTTTGTTTGTTACATTTTGATGTGTTTTGATAAATAGCTATAATTTATTTATTTAAAGATGATGTTATTCTATATAAAGGTGTTTTGTATTCTTATTAGTAATAGACGCCTTCACTCTGTAAATGGTATGTTAGATCTGATTTTTTATTTCAACCATCTTCTGGGAGTAAGAATTTCATACAAAGGAAACCACACTATTTTTATTAATCTTTAGCAACAGTTTTATCAAATGTTATATGTTAAGGTCAATACGGTTCGGTACGGTACAATATTTTGTACCTCGATTCTCGATACAAAATCAGTATACGCTGGTACGGTGCTACCAGTATTTTTGTCGTTTTCTTCTCAGGATTGTATTAAACCATCATTTTAAATTTGAATTCATTGACATTATTACTATAAAAAAAATTGTAGGCCTATCCTACATTTATGGTTTTCTAAAAATTACAACACCACACGCACATTATTAAAACCTTTTATTCCTAACAAGTGTAAAATAAACTTGTGTCAAGTAAGAAACACAGTTAATATAAAGGCTTTTCCTATTTTGAGTCATAGCATAGCCATGATAAATTGATTTTAAAATTAGGTTAAGAATTTTAAGGAATAAACATGTTTGGAGCAACAATATGACAAGATAATTTTAACACAACACGGTGCATAACGTAGTTGTGACCTCCCCACACACGCTCAGTCCGGAACTACACAGTTTAGCCGGATCGTCTTAATACTGTTCTGTTAATACTGTTCAATGAAGTGGCGACCATACATAGTAGGTATTTTAAGCCAAGTATGAATGGAGATGAGCGTAGGATGAGTGGCGCGATCTTGTAGTTTTGTTAGTGACTAAGGCCGTGATGGCCGACATTTCTTAGACACAGCTGCTAATTAATAGCCCATACAGCTAATGGCAACTAAGGGACCTACAGTTTATTGTGGCATCCGAACCACATTTCTCCTTGGTATATACGAATTGGTCTAATTATCAGGTTACTTCACTTACTTAATCGTAGTACTCACTCGTGCGGACGTTAATCCACACCAGGGAGTATCGCATACACAGTGCATGCCTATAAATATCTACAATTCGTGACCTCCTAGTAGCTGGATTACAGGACGACGCCACCCGTCCCAGTCTTGCCTAATCTTGGTCTAATGTGAGTTAAGCTCATTGAAGTACCACAATTTCAGAGCATAACCATCATCCGTTCCCATCACTGATTTTTGTGAAGATTTAAATTTTTTATACTCTTTTCTAAATGCACTCCGTTAGTTGTTTATTTTTTTCACCACAGTGTCCTTTGTTGCTTTTGGGTCAGTTTCGTTCACAAAATCTAATAACTCTTTATTTATAAGCTGCTTCCTTCATGTCCCTGATGCGGTATTCTTTGCTTTTTATTTTCCAAACGCATTCGTGACCTCAGTATTTTTCTATGAATTCGAGTGTAAAGTCTCTTGACCAGGTAGACATATTTAATGTGTTGTACTTATAACGATATCACTACACAACACTAAAACGCCAAAAGGCGCCAACTAGACTAACAACAACACAGCTCTGGTCCATGTTAACCAGACTGAAGAAGAGTTAACTCGCAATGAAGCAAAAAAGTCAGATGCGCATTCGATACTGCTGAAAATGTGGTTGGAGGGGTGAAGCAGCACTGTCTTGGACTGTGGGATAGGGATTCAACACACACGTTCAGTACAATTTGCATCATGTACGAGGCATGTTTTTTAAGTAAGTGCCGTTTTTAAATTTCTCCATTCCAGCACTGCGATTGGCATTTCGGACATTTGCGCTGTATATGTGCATCTATTGGCTAGCTCTAGCCGGAAATTCGACAAAAATCGGCCCTTTTTACATCCGGTTTCGAGCAACTCAAAATGGTGCCGCCAAATGAGACTGCCGCCGACTGTGAAGTGCGCGCTGTAATTAGATTTTTAAGTGCTAAAGGTGTGAAAGCCATTGAAATTTATCGACAGATTAGTGAGGTGTTTGGTGAGAACATTATGAGTGACGGAATGGTACGCAAGTGGGTAAGGACATCTAAAGACGGCCCCACCAACGTCCATCATGAGCAACGCACTGGGCGGCGTCAATGTCCCCAGTACCCATTTTAACCCCTTAACCGCCACGCACGAGATATGCCGGGCGATACTAGTTTTCAGAGCAACCGCCACGTACGAGTTATCTCGTGTTGACGTAATCAGCTGTTGTGTTTTATTTTTAACAGCTCACTTCCTGCCTTATCTCTGATATACGTACGTAAACAAGTTGTTGACAGTGCTGCTTGACTAGTGCTGCAATCTGGTGGATTTTAGTGGTATTATAGGTCAGTAATGGTCCCGATCAGTTCCGTTCGTAGTTTCAGTCAAACTCGTGCTTGCGGAAGCTTACGTAATGCTTACGTACATTATGCGTGTCATTATAATTGTGTTTTTTGGTGGTTATTTACTTGGTAGTGTTGAATGAGTAGTAAATATTAGTCGTAATGGCTGGTGACATGCTTGAGGATGACGATTTATTAGAGTTGTAGACTTTATTGTAGGCCTAATTTTTATTATAGGCCTAACTCAAGAAACCCCCGGACCCCCCCCCCCCAATCACAAATTTTAGTAGGGTATTGTTAAAGCTTAATGTTTTTGAAGATGTCTACAAACAATATTGATAACTATTTTCTTAAAAAAAAAAAACAACTGGTACAGTTTTTTAAATCACAAGTAAAAATCGTCAAAAACGGCAAAAATAAGTGGCAATGGCGGATTTTGACTAGGCTACTTAGACGGCGGTTAAGGGGTTAAGACTTATTTACTCTTCACATTTTTGCTATAAATAAACCTACTCGTTTGGTAGCTACATGATGCAAAATGTTCACCGGAAGTAATTTTTTCATAGGCTGTAACTCCTAAACGAGTTGGGTTATGAAAAAAATGTCAAGAATTAAAAAGTTTTAAAATTGCATGTTCTATCTGAAAACGTGAAAACGTAATATTGAAAATTGCTGCTGATTTTCATAAAACTAAATTTATATTTTTAATTGCCACAAAAAATAAAGGAATGTCCTCCATTTAAAGTTTTCTCTAATACTTACCGTATCCGATATCCCAATGGTGGCCTCCTTGAGTTGATCACCCTGTATATTTGTGTACTTATATTCACAAACAACTGTTTTGTTCTGTTCTCATCTGGAGGAAATTCGGATTAAGCTTGCATCGGGATTGACAAATGTGAAATCTTGCATTAACTTGTGTTCTGTCCCAGCTTTGTAGTTATGGTCTAGCACCATCTGGTAGTACACCCAAGAAAAATCTTTAAATTTTAATCATGAACACAGGAGTGAGAAAAGGTTTGGGGATGTTCTAGTGGAGCTGTATGAAAATTTTAGAGTAAACCCTAATTTTGTTCTATCTCAGGTACAACTTCTATGGTATGTTGCCATAATCTGCATGAGCTAACTACTAGGGATATATACCAGATTAAACGTTTAGTTAGAGAGCGGATTTTTAATTCCTTCCTGATATTCAGGATGAGAACGGGACTCGAGTTCCCAACAATATCACCTAGCTTAATGAGCTTGTGATTGTTATTTCTTATGCCTGGGCAAAAAGAGTTTGTTTTAAAAATCTTTAGTAAAAATTCTTGCAGATGGCAATTATGACAAAAAAAACAATTTTAAGTCTTTATGGCTCTGTCCTATAAAAACCATTACTCAGTAGAAATACTTAGGTAACAAAAGCCGTTGACATATTTGGTGCATTTGGTTACCAGTAGAAAGCAGGTTTAGCTTTAACAACCACAAATTTTAACAAACAAACAAATTTTAATTTTTGTACCTTACAATGCCATCATGACTATAATCCATGATCTCGATCGAGTACATCACCCTCCGCAGCGACATAATCTAAACAACTCCTACAATCATGGAGCGTATTATTAATAGGTCCCATCATTGTGACGTCATTTTGAATGTCCTGCAATCACGGCGCCATGTCAACATGTCCACATTTGCAGCTTCACCGTGAACATCTCCTTTGATCATGGCACCATCATTAACATGTCCCACTGTTGCGGCGTCATCGTGAGCATTTCCGGCAGTTGTGAAGCTAACATGAACATATTTCATGTTTTCAGCGCTGTCATAAACATCTCCTTCAATCAAGGTGCCATCATTAATTAACCTGTCCCGCATTCACAGCGCCATTTTGAACATATCTAGCTTTCCCGATAATGGTAAATCCGTTAACACTATCCACAGTCATGGAGTCATCATCATTGTCTCCTGGGTTTGCAGAACCATTGTAAAAATCTTTTGCGATGGCAATATATTATCATCATCTCCTACCACACCGGCAAAATTTACCGCAATTGTGAAGACGTCATCATCTTCACTTGCAATGCAGCAAAATCTATGACAATTGGAACAAATTTTATTTTGGGAAAATGTGAAATTAAATTCAATGCCATTCCAAAGAAAATGAGTGCACTAAATTTTTAAGAAAATTTGATCTCATGTCCATCCCTACAAGTGCAAAAGTATTGGTTTTCCGAAGCTTTTTGACTAGACGTCCATGCCCATCCTACCACTAATCTTAGAGGACACCAGTTTATTACTTGAATCTGTAGACAGCTGACAGCTACATTTAAGAAATGCCTTTTTACACCTAAAAAGAAAACTGTACGGTACATAAATGCACAATGTTTCTTTACAGCAATGTATTGGTACAAAGTTCATTGCTGAAGAGCACTGTTTGCCGTTTGAACATGTTTATAGTGACACCTGAGGTAATAAGGACTATACACAGTTCACAAAATTTAGGTGGTTTGAGGGGAAGCAATTCCATCCCCTCTACCTCACTCTTAACATTGAAATAACAGCTGACAGCTGATCAGCTGATATATTAATTAAGCTGAAAAAGTGGTGGGGGAATCCAGGAAATCTTTCCCCTTTAAACGCCTACATTTTGTGAAGAAACTTTAGT